ACTAAATATAGATTTGACCCATTACACAAATGAAGGGACTAATTAATGAATGGGCTAATGGAAAAATATGTTACTTTGTGTGGCAATCTGATGCACTAAATTTTGTGAGAACAAATATTCTTTGTAGTGATATAATTTTTATTTTCTTCCCTCGTGACTGCATGAATATAATTTATTAAAGATCTTTGTAACCCATAAGTAATTTATCAATTCTAAGGTTTAGAAAAACAAGAAAAAATATTTTTTTAATTGTTTATTAATTTATTTAATAGTCTTGTTTAATTAAGTTTTTTTCTTCTATGATTCTATTGCAAATAGCCCTAATAACCACGCAAGTTCAAATCGAGAAATTCGAAAAATACAAACTTGTCTGGGGCCTCTAAATTTTTGGAGACGCCCTGTGACTACTCACAAGTCATAACTGCTCCATGATTCCAAACAAAAATTTCCGTGGAATATTATATAGATCTATATCTATATCTATATCTATATCTATATCTATATAAATATAAAGAGATTGTTGGAAAAATACATTAATAGAAAGTTTGACCAAATAAATATAATGTTTGACTTACTATTAATGGAAAGTTCAAAAAAACACATGTGAATCTTTAGTAACAAAATCTAAATTCTATTTTTTTGTAACAAATTTGGAGATTTTAATGGAAAAATTTGAATCCCCTTTTTTCGTATCATATTTTACTTTTTTTCCAAAATTTAAATCATATCTTTTTTGGTAACAAATTTGTTGATTCGTATCCAAACAATATGTCAATTATTTATGAAAACAATTTTAAATACAAATTAATTTAAAAACCGTGCAAACTGGATACAAATTAGAAAGCAAATAGTTGTATAATTCTTAACTAATTCTTCCAATCTTATTGAATAATTTTTTGTTTCAAAAAAATTGTGTAAATTGGATAAAGCCAAGTGCAATTCTTATTTTAAAATAAAACTGATATTTGGATGTGATGTACATTCAAAATTGTGTCTACATTTTTGGGTAACAAAAGCAGTTCATCATTGATATTTAAAGTCACCTTATCCAATTATTTAGAAAAAAATTGTGTTCAACTTTTCAAAATTTAAATGCATCGATTTTTTTGGATTCTTATGTTTTTTCTTTACCATGTTTTACTGAGATTTTGGTAAGTTCATATCATTTTTTTTTTTGGTTAAGTTCATTTCATTTTCTTTAGGAAAGAGACAGTTGCATAAACATTAACAATTTATTTCAATTTTTTTATTAGTATGATTTTCAATTCAATGTGTTTGGTACAAAAACCGGTGCAATGTTAGAAAAATTCAGTTGCATTTTTAGGAAAAAATGATGATTTTTTTATTTGGTTTAAAAAAAATTGGATCAATTTGTTTGATAAAAAAATCAGTTTATTGGTAGGAAAATTTGATTTCATTTCCACGAGTAACTAATGATTCATTTCAATTTTTCTTAATTGAAATTTAGAATTAGATTTAAAATAAATAATGGGTGAAAATCCCTTAAAAATCTACTTTTTTTTTCTACTTTAATTTTGTTAATAAATAAGATCCTTTAATTTTTTTAAAATCAATTAACTAATAACTAATAATATGCAATTTTGGATAAATTCAAACACCTATGTAGTACTTTACGTGTCAAAGAATCAAGTCAATAATGTTGTACATAAGGAAGTGTTTAATAACATATAAATTTCATTTTCATGAAATTTTTAATGTCATGAGACAATTTAAATACAAAAATACCTTTTAAAAAATAAATGGGTATTAAATGCTCCCGTGCATCGCACGGGATATTTACCTGAAATAGAAGTAAAAATCCCGCCTAAATAATTTGTTTTTACTTTTATTAGTAATTTTTTAAAAAACTTTTAAAAAAGGGCGATCATTTTTGAAAATTTAAATTATAAAAGAAGCGAATTCATTCCGATATTTTGGTACGTTTTTAGCTGAATCATTTATTTATTTAAAAAAAAAATATGTGGCAAAAAATAAAAAAATAAAAAAAGTTGTGGAAAAAAATAAAACGGACAGATTCTGGGAATCCGTGTTTCAAGGAAAAACGGATTCTCAGAATCCGTTTTTATTTATTTATTATTTTTTATTTTTATTTTATTTTATTTTTTGTTTAAAAACGGATTTTGAAAATCCGTTTTTAATTTTTATTTATTTTTTATTCATTTTTTATTTATTTAATTTTTTTTAATAAAAAAACTTAAAAACGGATTTTGAAATCCGTTTTTATTTTTTAATTATTTTTTAATTATAAAAGAAAAACTTAAAAACGGATTTTCAAAATCCGTTTTTAAGTTTTATTTTAATTTTTTGTTTTTTAAAAGATAACGAGCGATTACACTATAATTGACCGAGATCGTACTAATTCGACTTCAATTAGACTAATTCAAGGTCGATTACGCTATAATTGACCGAGATTGTACTAATTTGACATCAATTGGACTAATTATAGTGTAATCGGATTTGAATTAGTCCAATTGAAGTCAAATTAGTACAATTTCGGTCAATTATAGTGTAATCGAACTCGAATTAGTCTAATTGAAGTCAAATTAGTACAATCTCGATCAATTGTAGTGTAATTCGACTTCAATTGGACTAATTCTCGGTCAAACTATAGTGTAATCGAACAACAATCTCGGTCAATTATAGTGTAATCAAACTCGAATTAGTCCAATTGAAGTCAAATTAGTACAATCTGGATCAATTATAGTGTGATCGAGTTCGAATTAGTCCAATTGAAGTCAAATTAGTACAATCTCGGTCTATTATAGTGTAATCGAAATCGAATTAGTCCAATTGAAGTAAAATTAGTACAATCTTGATCAATTATAGTGTGATCGAACTCAAATTAGTCAAATTAGTACAATCTCGGTCAATTATAGTGTAATCGACCTCGAATTAGTCCAATTGATGTCGAATTAGTACAATCTCGGTCAATTATAGTGTAATCGAACTCGAATGGGTCCAATTGAAGTCAAATTAGTCCAATTGAAGTCGAATTAGTTCAATTCTCGGTCAATTATAGTGTAATCGACCTCGAATTAGTCCAAATGAAGTCAAATTAGTACAATCTAGGTCTATTACAGTGTAATCGAAATCGAATTAGTCCAATTGAAGTCAAATTAGTACAATCTAGATCAGTCATAGTGTGATCGAACTCAAATTAGTCAAATTGAAGTCGAATTAGTACAATCTCGGTCAATTATAGTGTAATCGAACTCGAATGAGTCCAATTGAAGTCAAATTAATCCAACTGAAGTCGAATTAGTACAATCTCGGTCAATTATAGTGTAATCAAACTCGAATTAGTCCAATTGAAGTCAAATTAGTACAATTTCGATCAATTATAGTGTGATCGAACTCGAATTAGTCAAATTAGTACAATCTGGGTCAATTATAGTGTAATCGAATCGAATTAGTCCAATTGAAGTCGAATTAGTACAATCTCGGTCAATTATATATAATCGACCACGAATTAGTCCAATTGAAGTCGAATTAGTACAATCTCGGTCAATTATATATAATCGACCACGAATTAGTCCAATTGAAGTCGAATTAGTACAATCTCGGACAATTAGAGTGTAATCGACCTCGAATTAGTTCAGTTGAAGTCAAATTAGTACAATCTCGGTCAATTATAGTGTAATCGGCCTCGAATTAGTCCAAATGAAGTCAAATTAGTACAATCTCGGTCTATTACAGTGTAATCGAAATCGAATTAGTCCAATTGAAGTCAAATTAGTACAATCTGGATCAATTATAGTGTGATCGAACTCAAATTAGTCAATTGAAGTCGAATTAGTACAATCTCGGTCAATTATAGTGTAATCGACCACGAATTAGTCCAATTGAAGTCGAATTAGTACAATCTCGGACAATTAGAGTGTAATCGACCTCGAATTAGTTCAAATTGAAGTCAAATTAGTACAATCTCGGTCAATTATAGTGTAATCGACCTCGAATTAGTCTTTTTTTTACCAAACGATAAACCTTTCATTAAGTAAACTCAATAATAAGAGTACCACACAAATTCGAGACCAACTAGGACTGAAATTACCAACTAACAAGTGTTGGTAAAAGAGTACACAGTGAGAGCCAAGACATGTTGCTCCCAATACTCACCACAAACTACTAAGAAAAACAAACTAAAAAGCACTATTAAGCTTTGACAATAAAAAAAGAACATGAAGCAAATAATCTAGCTAGACCAAAAATATCCTGCACCTGAGAATTTTCTGGATCTACAAGGGTTCTCAAATTGTTAAGTGCTTCTGCAATTATCCTTGAATTGGTCCAGTAGATCACCTCCTTCCATTCCTTTTTTCTTGCCAAATTAAGGATCCATATGATATGGTTCAGCTCTGCACCAGTGTCATCACTTGTTGATGTTACTGAATTAGGCCACTCTTTGAGCTCTCTTCCTCCTTTCCAGGCATATCCACTGATTTTTCTGAGATTGTTACAAGGGATTGAAGCACTGACAGATAGTGAAACCTGCCCTACTTCCTGGGAAAATTTCCTTCCAACCTTCTCAGAGTCTTCATTCAATAACACCACATCACCAACCTCATTAACAGCATTACACTCAAGCCATTCTAATTTAGCTTTGTTAACCAAATCTATCTCAGAAACTCGAGTATTCTCAAAGACCCACAAATTTCTAGTCTTCCACAACCACCAAAGTAAATAAGAGGATAGACTTACCCTATCTTTGATGATTGGAGAAGACTTAGCACCAGTTAAATCCATCCACCAATCTCTAAATGTAAATGAGGTATGCAAGAGGTTTAGCCAATTAATACCTATTAATTTCCAGCATAATTTGGCTCTGTAGCAGTAGAAAAAGATGTGGTCCTAATTTTCATCCTCCTCTCCACAGAGTTTGTAGATAGAATCTATACCCATCCCCCTTCTCCTTAAGTTTGAATTTGTACCCAAATGACCCTGCCAGCACTTTCATAAGAAATTTCTAACTTTGTGTTTCACTGGCAGTTTCCAGGTAACTCTCCACATCTTTGCCTCTTTTTTCTTCTGGTCACTGGAAGAAGCCTGCATCTGCTGCACCAAATGCTTGTTAATCAATAAATTGTACAGTGACTTTACAGTGAATTTTCCTTCACTATGAGCATCCCAAACCATTCTATCTTTGACCCCCTGCCTGAGTCCAAATGAAGTCAAATTAGTACAATTTCGGTCTATTACAGTGTAATCGAAATCGAATTAGTCCAATTAAAGTCAAATTAGTACAATCTGGATCAATTATAGTGTGATCGAACTCAAATTAGTCATATTGAAGTCGAATTAGTACAATCTCGGACAATTAGAGTGTAATCGACCTCGAATTAGTTCAATTGAAGTCAAATTAGTACAATCTCGGTCAATTATAGTGTAATCAACCTCGAATTAATCCAAATGAAGTCAAATTAGTACAATCTCGGTCAATTATAGTGTAATCGAACTTGAATTAGTCCAATTGAAGTCAAATTAGTCTGGATCAATTATAGTGTGATCGAACTCAAATTAGTCAAATTGAAGTCGAATTAGTACAATCTCAGTTAATTATAGTGTAATCGAACTCGAATGAGTACAATTAAAGTCAAATTAGTCCAATTGAAGTCGAATTAGTACAATCTCGGTCAATTATAGTGTAATCGAACTTGAATTAGTCCAATTGAAGTCAAATTAGTACAATCTCGATCAATTATAGTGTAATCGACCTCGAATTAGTCCAATTGAAGTCGAATTAGTACAATCTCGGACAATTATAGTGTAATCGACCTCGGACAATTATAGTGTAATCGACCTCGAATTAGTCTAATTGAAGTCAAACTAGTACAATCTCGGCCAATTATAGTCTAATCGACCTCGAATTAGTCCAAATGAAGTCAAATTAGTACAATCTCGGTCTATTATAGTGTAATCGAAATCGAATTAGTCCAATTGAAGTCAAATTAGTACAATCTGGATCAATTATAGTGTGATCAAACTCAAATTAGTCAAATTGAAGTCGAATTAGTACAATCTCGGACAATTAGAGTGTAATCGACCTCGAATTAGTTCAATTGAAGTCAAATTAGTACAATCTCGGTCAATTATAGTGTAATCGACCTCGAATTAGTCCAAATGAAGTCAAATTAGTACAATCTCGGTCAATTATAGTGTAATCGAACTTGAATTAGTCCAATTGAAGTCATATTAGTACAATCTCGGTCAATTATAGTGTAATCGAACTTGAATTAGTCCAATTGAAGTCATATTAGTACAATCTCGATCAATTATAGTGTAATCGACCTCGAATTAGTCCAAATGAAGTCAAATTAGTACAATCTCGGTCAATTATAGTGTAATCGAACTCGAATTAGTCCAATTGAAGTCAAATCAGTACAATCTTGATCAATTATAGTGTGATCGAACTCGAATTAGTTCAATTGAAGTCAAATTAGTACATTCTCGATCTATTATAGTGTGATCGAACTCGAATTAGTCCAACTGAAGTCAAATTAGTACAATCTCGGTAAATTATACAGTAATCGAACTCGAATTAGTCCAATTGAAGTCAAATTAGTACTATAATTGACTGAGATTGAACTAATTTGAGGTCGATCACACTATAATTGATCGAGATTGTACTAATTTGATTTCAATTGGACTAATTCGAGTTCGATTACCCAATAATTGACCGATATTGTGCTAATTTGACTTCAATTGTACTAATTCCGTTTTATCTGTTTTTAATTTTTTTATTAAAAACGGAATTTTGAAATTCGTGTTATCTGTTTTAAATATATATATTTTTAAATTCGACTTTTTAAAAAAAAAAAAAATTAAAATTAA